TGTGTTGAGTTATTTTGAGGGGACAGCAAATTTACACTGTTATACAAGCTGTACACTCACTACTTTACATTGTAGCAAAGTGTCATGTCTTCATTGTTGTCACATGAAAAGTATTTACAAAAATGTGAGGGGTGTACTATATAGGGCTTGCATAGACTAGTCTTCTTCAACCACTAGTCGGCGCTGTCAGAAACAATCGACTACTCAAGCATGCATTAACCATAATGCATGCATAGAGTTTGCAAGTACGACGTGAATTTTAGGATTACAATATTGCGTGTAGCTGTTACTATCTATGACTTTATCTATGTTGCATGTAAAATTAAAATATGTAATGTAATATTTAGGGGTGTGAAAAACGAATAACGGACAAGGAATAATTCTGCCTGAATATTCGGCTGTGGCTGGCACAGTCTGGTGTTTGCTAGATAACAGTTGAGCCAGGGGATCAGCGCAATATTATACACAGACCTCTAAAGTCACGCAACAGAGTGTGAAGTAGGGATGCACCGATGTATCGGCCACCGATATTTATCGGCCGATTTTTCCTTAATTTACAACCATCGGCATATCGGCTATATAAGGAAAAATGCCGATATAACAAACCGGTAATTTATTAATTAACTGCATGAAGGCACTGAGCTGTAATAATGTCTGTTGCATAATCCTAGCGCTGCTGTCTGCAGTTTAATGCTAATCAAATAACAAAAGATCACACACTATTCTTGACTAAATAACTTTTGTATCTTTCATAAGTGTAGCGGACCTCATCTGAATGATGACCAAAACTTTACTGATGTTTTATTACGTTTATTGCGTCCTTTTTCACTCCAAAAAATCACCATAAGAGCTAAACATAACACAGCACGAGAAGTGCACATTAAACTCTCTCTCAGTTGCATTATCATCAACATACAGCGAATTACACAAAACACTTATTACAACTAACAGAAAACAAATATATACAGATCTCATGCCTTTTCGTGGGGTGCTTAATAAACTGACAAACTTTAAATCTGAAGAACTGCGTGCTTTCATTACCCATATAGCTGCTCCGTAGACTAGTCAAAATAAGAGTCCCGCCTTAGTAAAGGAGATCTCATACATATTTAAACTTACAAAAAATATTAAAATGTATACAAAAACAAATTAGAAGATTAATCATAATAAAGTCTGTTACAATAAAGAAGGATTAATATGTATTTAATTTATACAGTGAAGTGTTAAGAATATTTCTGTACCTGAAAACTGTTAAACCTACCTAAAAAGCACTGTTTATTTAATATGTATCTTTGTTCTGTTGTATTTATGTAGGCCTGCTGAATGTTAAATGGATCCA